GGCTGGGGTGGTGCGTGAGGGCATGCCTCTGTGGCCCCAGGCAGGGAGGGGATCAGGGTGCCTTTCGTCACTGAGGGTTACTGTTCTCCTTCAAAGGGAAGAGACAATGTGGCAAACAAGAACGCTGTCCCCAAAGATGTCCACGTCCTGATCCCTAGAACCTGTGAATGTGTTACCTCACATGATAAAAACAAATTTGCAGATGTGATTAGCTTAAGAATCTTAAGGAGATGAGTCTGTATAATCCAGGTGAACCCAGTGTAAGCCCAAGGGTCCCTACAAGGAAAGACGGAGGCAGGAGGGTCAGAGTCAGAGAAAATGTGGCTATGGAAGCAGAAATCAGTGATGCAGTCACAGGCCAAGGAATGTAGGCACCTCTAGAAACTGGAAAAGGGAAGGGACAGGCTCTCCCCTGGAGCCTCCAGGAGGAGCACAACTCTGCCAACATCTTGATTTTAGCCCTATGACACCCACTGTGGACTTCTGACCCCCAGAAACATGAGATAATAAATCTGAGTTGTTTTAAGCCACTAAGTTGTGGCAATTAGTGGCAGCAGCAATAGGAAGCTAACCCAGACAGCAAGAGCATGCTGTGGACTGAACTGTGTCCCCCCGAATTCCTATAATGAAGCCTTACCCATCAATATATGGTATTTGGAGATGGGACCATTGTTAGGATTAGACGCAGTCATGAGGGTGGGGCCCTCATGGTGGGATTAGCATCCTTCTAAGAAGAGACACCAGAGAGTTTGCTCTCCCTCCGTCCACCGTGAGGACACAGTAAGAAGGCGGCTGTCAGCAAGCCAGGAAGAGAACCCTCACCAGAAGCCAACCATGCTGCCACTCCAATTTCAGACATCCAGACTCCAAAACCATGAGAAATAAATTTGTATTGTTTGCATCATCCAGTCTATGGTAGTTTTTTAATGGCAGCCTAGCCTGTAGCTATGACCACACTTCAGGCCCAGGATCCTGGCTAGATGAGGAAAATCCAATGAGTCAGTATTCTTGAAGGCAAACCTGGTTCCAAGTCTATTAAACTGTGATAAGGCATCACAGAGAAATGGGTTCCATGTCCATTAGCAGCCTGGACAAGTCAGTGGACAAGTTGCCTCTTTAAGATGTGAAAAAATATACCACGTACCAAACTCTAAGAGTCATATTAAGAGCATTTTGCAAAGAATCAAGTGGTTTAAAGATGTACAGTATTGGCCGGGTGCAGTGGCTCACGCCTGTAATCCCAGCACTTTGGGAGGCCGAGCCAGGGGTGGATCACCTGAGGTCAGTAGTTCGAGACCAGCCTAACCAACATGGCAAAACCTCGTAACTACTAAAAACACAAAAATTAGCTGGGTATGGTGGCAGGTGCCTATAATCTCAGCTACTCGGGAGGCTGAGGCAGGAAAATCGCTTGAACCCAGGAGACAGAGGTTGCAGTGAGCAGAGATCGCACCACTGCACTCTAGCCTGGCTAACAGAGAGAGATTCCATCTAAAAAAAAAAAATGTTCAGTATTTTTTTTGAGGCGGAGTCTCAATCTGTCACCCAGGCTGGAATGCAATGGCACAGTCTCAGCTCGCTGCAACTTCCACCTCCCAGGTTCAAGCGATTCTCCTGCCTCAGCCTCCCAAGTAGCTGGGACTACAGGCGCATGCCGCCACACCCGGCTAATTTTTGTATTTTTAGTAGAGACGGGGTTTCGCCATGTTGGCCAGGCTGGTCTCGAACTCCTGACATCAGGTGATCAGCCCCCCACCTCAGCCTCCCAAAGTCCTGGGATTATAGGCATAAGCCACCGTGCCCGACCTATTTTTATGCTGTCCATTTTTCCTAAATGGCAAGCACTTCCTTTCAGATGAGCATTCACCTCAACAGGCCCCGGTCAGGCCCAATTCTAATGTGGGAAGCCTGACCCCTCTCTGCTGGGCTGTAGTCCACTCTTGTATGCAGGATCCACGTGAGGGTCCACTCGTGACAGGCCACTCGTCAGCTCCAGCAAATGGCCAGATAAAGGTCAGCATGTGACTGGATCCAGGAGGAATGAGGGGAAAAGAGCCAGAGGTTAAGGCTTGGGCATGGGGTTATCAGCTCCTTACCTTCTCTTTATCCCCTTCCCCCTACTCCAAAGCTCCTGCAAGGGCAGGAGACACTCAGAGCTCCTCTGGGACAAAGATCACACTTCTCCAAGATGCTCCATGTAAACACTGGGGCCAAAGCCAGACGGACTGTGGCAGTGAGGAGCCCAGAGGCTCCCTGCCCTGCAGTACAGGATAGAGGAGATAGGGCAGGAACAGGCCCAAACGCACAAGACAGCAATTCCCAGCCATGTCACCAAAAAGATGCCTTGTGACACTTTTCCCACCCCACCCCAAACACAACATTTGAAAGATCTGAGCTATGATATAAATAATGAATCTTCCCATACTTTGATTACTCCAAAGCTGATTAATCCTCCTAGGCAGGGTTGCTCGTTAGCATCAGAGCCCGTGCTGCACCACCAAACTGACTCTGAACCCTAGGAATCCAGCCCCAAATCAAAGTCTGCATGGGAGTGATCACATTTTGCCTTAGGGCACACACTGCAAAAAGCTTAAGGAACCCTGTCGTTACTTCTTTGAGCTCCTCAATATCTACTGATGCCTGGGTGGAAATTCCAAATACAAAACAGAACCACCTGGGTCATGGCTTATGGGAAGGATCTAACTAGGAGGTGGCGATTCCTGGCCCATCCTAACCAAAATTTGAGTTGGTTGAACCCTACCACGTACAAGTCACCACAGCATCCCTGAGTCCAGCCTGGCACCAACTCATGCCTGCCTCCACCCACTGAAAGGCCCATGCCTCCTCTTGGGTTCCTCCTCCCTTCACTCCCTGCTCAAGCTCTCCCTGCCTCCCAGGAAGCAGGGGCCTTCTTCAGGGCTCTGTGACTACCCCCACAGAGAGGTACCCCAGCCCCCCTCCACTCAACACCCCCCAGCAGATTTTATTTATCTTGCAAGCCAGCACTAAACCCTAAATAACTGGCTTCATGTTTCTGGGCCACAAGTCAAGGCCAACCACAGGCCAAACAAAACAGAAGTCATCTGGGAAGTTCTGAATCTACAAAATCCATGAAGCTGGAGCCCAGCACAGACCCATAGAGCCCCAAAGCCCGAAATCAGACAGCAAGGAACAGGCAGCTCTGGTCACTGGCCTCCCTCAGCCTTCGGGACAGTGTCTGCCACCAGAAAGAAACCACACTTGCCAGCCTGTTAACCCACCTATGCTGGGGAAACAAAAACGACTCCTGCCTGAGCCCCTGTCCAGTCTGGTGGGCAAGGCAGGGCAAAGAGCTATCAGGAGCATTGTGGGGGGCCCTGACAGAGGCTCCAACTGCTAAGATGGCACTGAGAGGTGGAGGCAACCTACTGTCCATCAACAGCTGAATGGATCAACAAAACGTGGTCTATCCAAACAGTGGAATAGTATCCAGCCATGAAAAGGAACGAAATCTCGATATGCACCACAAATGAGTGGACCTAAAAAATGCTACGTTAAGTGAAATAAGCCAGTGGCAGAAGGGCAAATCCTGTATGATTCCGTGTCTGTGAGGTACTGAGATCAGGCAAAGTCATAGAGTCAGAAGAGAAGTAGCCAGGAGCTGCAGGTAGGCGGATGAGGAGCTATTGCTTAATGGGTACAGAGTTTATGTTGGGGATGACAAAACATTTTGGGTATAGTGATGATGGTTACACGACACTGTGGATGTACTTAATGCCACTAAATTGTGCACTTATAGTCGAAATGATAAATATTATGTATATTTTACCATGATGTTTAAAAGTACTATAAAGAAAAAAAAACAGGGCACTGGGGAGGCAACAACCAATTCTTTCTGGGGAGGGAGGAACTAAGGAGCTATGATGGGTAGGTAGCATTTCAGCCACCCATGGGAGACGAAGGTGAGGCAGAGGTGGGCCAATCTCTCCCTCTTGCTCACAGCTCAGGTTCAGAGAGCCGGGAGGAGGGGAAGGCGGCCTTTGTGGGGGGTGGCTAAGGCTCACTCTCCACTAAATCACTCTGCTCTTCCAGAATACTCCATGGCTCCCTCTTCCTATCACCCATCCAAACTCCTCACTCCAGAACATTCTAGGTCTAGGGCCCATCTACACTTCCTTCCAGGCTGAACCGACACAACACTCTAAAACTGTGGGGCCCCTGCTCACAGGGAACTGCATCCCCACCCGTGTCTGCACAGCCGCTCCTTCCGCTGGAGTCCAATTCTTCCACTTCACCCTCCTGTGTCTCCCATGTCCTTTAATATCTTGAAACCCACCTTCCCGGAAGACTCATGAGTAGTCCCTTTCTTCTTCCTGCCTCTCTATTTTCTCACATGTTCTGTAATGAAAAGGCTGCATGGCGCGGTGAAGAAGAGCACACCCTCTGGGAGACACTCCCCATACTCCAAGCCTGGATCTGCCGACAACTAGCTATGCAACCAGTTTACTTAATCTGTGCCTCAATTCTCCTGCCTGTGAAAATGGGAAAACAACAGCACTCACTGCATGGGACCATGACAATTAAAATGAGAAAATGCACATAAAGTTTTTGGCACATGAGTGCTTAACAAACAGTAACTATCATTATAATAACATATTGCTTTGGTATTAAACTTTTTTTGAGATAGGGTCTCGCTCTGTCACCCAGAATGGAGTACAGTGGCACAGTCATAACTCATTATAACCTCAAACTCCTGGGCTCGAGAGATCCTCACGCCTCAGCCTCCTGAGTAGCTGGGACCACAGGTGCACATCACCACGCCTAGCTATTTTTTCTTATTTTTTGTAGAAACAGGGTCTTGCTATGTTGCCCAGGCTGGCCTCAAACTCCTGGCCTCAAGCAATTCTCCCACCTCAGCCTTCCCGAAGTGCTGGGATTATAAGTATGAGCCACCCTGCCCGGCCTAAACTTTATTTTTTAAAAATTTTGCATGTTGGCAGTTTGGCAGTCCCATGGATCTGTCTCTTGCTTAAACAGTGTTTAGAGGAACAGATACCGGGGACTCTTTCTTCCGGCCTCCGACCGCCCTCCGATTTCCTCTCTACTTGCAACCTCCGGGACCATCTTCTCGCCATCTCCTGCTTCTGGGGACCTGCTAACACCGTTTTTGTGGTTAGCTCCTTTTTACTGACCAGCCATGAGCCCCCAGATTCGTCAGAATTATTCCACTGACGTGGAGGCAGCCATCGACCGCCTGGTCCATGTGTACCTGCAGGCCTCCTACGCCCACCTCTCTCTCACTGGGCTACTATTTTGACCGCGATGATGTGGCTCTGGAAGGCATGAGCCACTTCTTCCACGAATTGGCCGAGGAGAAGCGCGAGGGCTATGAGCGTCTCCTGAAGATGCAAAACCAGCGTGGCGGCCGCGCCCTCTTCCAGGACATCAAGAAGCCAACTCAAGATGAGTGGGGTAAAACCCTGGACACCATGGAAACCGCCATGGCCCTGGAGAAAAGTCTGAACCAGGCCCTTTTGGATCTTCATGCCCTGGGTTCTGCCCGCACAGACCCCCATCTCTGTGACTTCCTGGAGAGTCATGTCCTAGATGAAGAAGTGAAAATCATCAAGAAGATGGGTGACCACCTGACCAACCTCCACAGGCTGGGCAGGGCCAGTACCTCTTCGAAAGGCTCACTCTCAAGCATGACTAAGAGCCTACTGAGCCCAGCGACTTCTGAAGGGCCCTTGCAAAATAACAGGGCTTCTCCCTAAGCCTCTCCCTCCAGCCACTAGGCAGCTTTCTAACTATCCTAACAAGCCTTGGACCAAGTGGAAATAAAGCTATTTGAAGGAAAAAAAAAAAATTTGCATGTTAGTTCAATCATCTTTAAATGCCTTATTTAACTGGAAAACTAAATCTCTTATCGCCTATCTTTCTTTGCTTTTCTCTATTTTTCAAATGTTCACTCTCTAGCAAAATGATTTTTGTATTTTAAAATTGTATTTCAAAGAAATTTTTAATGTTTTAATTGAAAAATGTTTGTATAATTTTTGAAATGATTTTTCTAAAATCCTCACCTCCCTAAAAGTTATTCATAAGAGCCGGCTCCTGCATGCATGCCTCTCTATTCAGAATCTCCTCAATGCTTACAAATTCTATTTGTCTCATACTGATTTTTGTTATGCTGTAGGAGAGGACCAGTGGCTTTTTATGCCTTTGAGCCCCTGTAAATGCAGGACACCCCGCGTTTGCCAGGCATTCTCTGGGGATGACCCACTGACCTCTTGCCACCCCCCACGGCCCTCCTTCAGGCCCTGGGCTCCCTCGGCTGTCCAAATTTGTAAAAGCCTGTGCGGTTCTTAGCCAGCAGGGGCAGAGCCAGATTCAAAGCCCACAGCCGGGCACCAGGGCTGTGTCTAGGACACTTCAACCACGCTGGGCGCATCAGCCGGCTCTGGCGTGCGGGATGTCAATCTCAGGCCGGCTGCCCTCCTCCCGGAGACTCCCGTGCCGGCCCAGTGGGACGCTTGCCTCTTTCACTTGAGCCTTGACAGCAGGCGCAGATTTAATGATTGGAAAGCACTTCGAAAATCCAGAGTGCTCCATAATTGCCAACTCATAATCCTCAAATTGTTCTCTGCGTGGCTGCAGGAGGCGAAGCCTCTGTGCTTGGAGGCTTTGCTTACTTAGCATGGCTCTCACATCGAACCAGGCGGGGCAGAAGCAAAGAGGAGCTCTACCCAACAGGAAGCCCCTCCTAAGACTCACCACGCCTGCTGGGGAGCAAGGCTTCTCAAGTATGAGCCAGATAAAGGGGGGCTGGATGATGATGCAGATTTGTGAGCCCTTCCACACTGACTGATTCAGAATCTCTGACGAGTGTGACCCTGGGAATCTGAATTTTAATAAACTCCCCACTGAGACAACTCTTAATCATACTCTAGTTCAAGGACTGACAATTTGAAGGTAAGTATGTGGGTTTGGGGTCAGGTGGGCCTGGGTTCAAATCTCGGCTCTGATTCTTAATGTCTGAGACTTCCGAAAGTTACTTAATGCTAGGCCCATGAGATGCTGAAAGATACTCCCTGAAAAAAATAAATTTTTTGAGATTCACAGTCAGATATGTTTGGGAGACCCAACACTCCACATCTTCCTGGGAGCTTTACAGCACACATGAGCGTGTTAAACGGGCTGAAAGTAGGACTCTGCTTAGCCCAGCTCTTCCCCAAACTGTCTAACCAAGGAAGCTCCTTTTTACCATTCATCCAGGAACATCTTACTATCTCGAAGGACAAAGCTAGTGAAACTCCTTTCTGGGAAAAGGGAAGTCTAAGGAGTGATGGACGGTGTTGTAAGGAGTCCCCAGGGAGCTCCTGCAGGAAGCAGGCTCTGGCTGGGGAGGGGCAGCGGGGAGCCCTGTTCCTCGTGTGCTGGTGTCTTGGGCAAGGCTGGCTCAGTTTTGCTGCTCCACTGCCTGGCACAGACGCATCACAATAGCGAGGTCACCTTCCTGCTTCGGGTAATTTCCCTCAGAGGCAAGACAGATCCATTTTTAACAGCTCTTCATTTCAGCAGAGAATGCCCTCCTGCCTCTGGTGGAGGCTGGGGACCCAGACGGGAAGGGAAGCTTTGTTCTTCTGACCAGTGCTGACAGTTTAATTAAACCCAGCTTGAGACAGGGTCGATAGGGTCAGGCATTCTTCAACAGGACTCCTGTGAATCTCACATCCACGCCTCTCCACCCACCAGGGCCCTGTTAATGAGTTATGGTGGTCCTTACGGCAGGGATATAAATAAGGGGAGATAAATGCCCTGCGCTGCCCTTAATCACCCACCCCCACCCCTTCCAGGCCCAGCAGAGACACAAAAGGTCAGTCTTGTCGGGACACATATTGGTTTCAAGGCTAAAAGGAACCCCAGAGGAACTGGGCTTCTAGAAGCGGCTTCTGGATGAGGAGGGAATCAGCCAGAGCAGGGCGGCACGGCAGCGGAGATCCTCCCCAGATCGGAGGCCAAGATGGTGGCATGCGCGGTGGGCAGACACCCTGCTCCCCATCCAAACCTGGTAAAGACTGAGTTTCGGTGCTGTAAGAAGCAATCAGGTTTCCAGCATATCCCTCTAGCCCTCAACTTAACACCTGTGTGTGTTCATGGAAGCAACATCACCACATCCTCTGAGGGTTCACTGTCAGGTGATGGAGCTGACCCCCAAACCCAGGTAACCTGCTACCAGGGTATACCTGTCCCCCACAGGAGATATAGGTCCAGCCAGTACAGCACCTGCCCCCACCTGCTCCAACCTGCTGGTAGGTCAGAGCGTGGCCAGCTGCTCTCAAAGAGCACCTATGATAGACCTGTCACCTCCTGAGAGGCCACCACCTCCCTATCCATCTTACGCAGACATCACTCCAAGGGTTCATAGTACCCAACACAGAGCCTGGCCCACAGGGGACCCTCAGGAACCGTTGGATCAGTGGGTGGGTGAGTCGCAGATGGAAGGTGAGGAGGAGTAAATAAAGGGGTGGAGGAAGGTGGGAGAAATTGGCGTATAGAAGGGTGTCTGGGTTTATGGGTAGGTTGGTAGATGAATAAGTAGGGGGAAGGGGAGGGTTTATGGTGGGGGTGGAAGAGTGGATGAATAGGCAGGTGGTGGGTGGGTAGTCAGGGCTGGATGGGAGAATGGATGGGAGGGGATGGGGGATGAAGGGATAGGTCAGGAGTAGGGAGAGAGATGAGTGGGTTGACTGATGGGTTGGTAGATGGTGGGAGGGTAGATGGAGGTGAAGAGCAGTGGTTGATAACTAGGTGGATGGACAGACGGGTGGATGGGTGGAGAAGGTACGTGGGTGAGGCAGGTCAGGGGTGCTATGTAAGGATGAGCTTTACTGTCAGATGGGTTCACATTTGGCTTAGCTCCTTGGGTGTGTCACATGCCCCTGAGCTTGCATTTCTTCATCTGTAAAATGTGGGACATGCTGACCTCATAGAGATGTTCTGATGATGAAACCAGGTATATTTGTAAGTTGCTCAGCATGAGCCTGGCACACGATAACCTTCCATTCTTTCTGTCACTATGACGACTACAGTCCCTGAGGCCTTTCATGAGGCCCTGAGGTGACAGGAGAGTGTGGCAGTGAAGGATGGGACAGGCTCACTTCTGCAGTGGGGAGGGGTCGGGGTCGTGCTCTTTTCTGAAGAGGTGTGAGTGCTGCTGTGCAGAACCCCAGGCCCACCCGCAATGGGGGCATCCCTGAGGAAGTGCAGAATGCATCTGGAATTTCAGGGCACTGAGAAACGCCTCCAGGGCAGCATCACCTACTTGCTCCACATTCCCCCTCCCCAGCCTGCTCGGGAAAGTGCCCAAGAGGACAGAAGGCAGATCCCCCACATCCTCAGCCCAGGCTCTGTGCCAAGGCCAAGGCCCTCCTGCCCGCACATGCCAGCCTTCCTCCACAGCCTCCTCAGGGCGTCTCTGCAGGGGCACCTAAGCCCCTTGAGAAAAAAACAAAAAAACCCTGTTGGAGGAAGGCCCCTGCAAAATGAAGGGATGGTTGTGAGTTAAGAGTGGTGAGGCTGAGCTGCCACAAGGGATGGGGGAAGCTGGCATCAACACGGGACACAGATCCAGGAGCAGGTCACCCCGGGGCTGTACCACCCTCCAAAGCAGCCCCAATGTGGACTCACTTGACATTATTTCCTGGGTACCTCTGGCGTGCCAGAGTGTTCGCTTCTGACACAGGAGTGTCACAGCTCTCTTTAACCCTCGTGTCAGCCCCTTGAGGCAGCCCGCCCTTATCTGTATCTCACAGAAGAGCAAACAGGCTGGGTAAAGGAAGCGCTGCAGTATCGCATCCTAGCCTTTCCCTTCACCTCAGACCACAGGGGCTTTTCAGCTCTTATTTTAAAACCAGGAGGTTCCCCACCATAAGCATAAAACACACGCTTCTTAGAGAACATCTGGGAAACAGAAGAGGAAAAAGCCACCCACAGACAATCCCTGCTGGCATTTTCCAGGCATTTTTTTCTTGCATTATTTAGAGTGATTTATTGAGTGGTCATATTGTCAATGCCATGTGGAATCCTGGCTTTTGATATCAAACACATATATCTGCATTACTTGACATCTTTCATAAAGGCCATTTTTGATGACTATAAATATTCCATCAAGTAGATGCATCATCATTTACTTCTTCATGCCTCCAATGTTGGACATGTATGTTATTTCCATGTTCTTTTTATTAGTCTATATTTCAATATTCTAAATAATACGGCAATGAACATGTCCGTGCTCATGTTTTACTATTTCCTGAGGGCAGATCCCCAAATATGAAATTCCTAGGTCAAGGTTTAAGGCCAATTTTCAGGCTCCTGAGAGTCCCTGGAAGGCTTGGTGTCTAATTCCAACCCTATCATCAAGCTGCTCTGTGGTCCAAGGCAAATCACTTGTCTGAGCCATAGATTCTGCATAGGAAAGAAATGGACAGACTAACCCCACACACCAGGGGAAATATTAGTGCAGAATAACCCCTAGCAGGATTTTAACTTCGGGAGGCCACACAGACAAAATAAACTGAAATGTGGGCTGAACCACTACCTACAGACTTGGGTGACCATGCCTTACCCCGCACATTTGGTCTCTCTCAAACCCATTTTCATGCTGATTTAGCATAACA